TTTCCGTCCCGGGTCCGATACAACATCTACATCGGACGCATCCCTTCGCAGCCGTTGCTAGAAAGTGGACGCCGAAATACCATCCGGCAGGCTACAGCCGATATGGACATAGAAAGCTAACACTAGTTGTCCGTTCAGAGTCCTTTCTATACGTCGTTCAAAATAAGAGTAACCTCGCTCTCGGACCGATTCTCGTCCGTTCTGCGCATAGGCAGAGAGCGTAGCAGAGGGTAAGACGGAGAAAAACGTAGGCGGTTAAGTGGGGGTTCGGTCGTTCTAGTGGTTCTAGCCCTGCCTTAGGCACGCCCCATGCGCGAAGCGAGGTTACTCTCATTTTGAACAGAGCATAGCAATTCGTCAGTAGAGCAAAGTTCACCTTACCCCCAAAATTCCATCATTGTAAATGTACCTAGAAATCCCTTATTAGAGAGTTAGTCCAACACACAACACAACGTTTTCTTCTCTTCGCGAAGTTCTCGTCTTATTGTAGAAAAATCCGCGTGTATGGAGTATCATCGTTGCGAATAAATGTTGTATCGTAAGAATGTAATCAGAGTTTACTTTCGCACCCGGATTCCAACAGTTTGTTCACTAAGATCATTCAAGACTAACACTTAACTCTACTCGACTCCCGATACTCTATAATTCGCGCTCTCGCTCTACGATATCTTCACTCTCAATGCCTCGCCCGCGACTCATTCATCCTGTTTTATTCTTTCGTTCTCTCGTACTCTTTTTCTCTGTTTCTCTAGCTCTTTCACTCTTCGCGGATATTCTCAAAATTCAGTCAGTCACGTCCATCGAACTTTTCGGGAGTCGCGCACCCTTCGTTTGCCCGATACTCTCGCGCTCTAGTTCCAAACACTTATCATTCATACTTCTATCGCTCGGACCCAATTATTCTTCGTTCAGACAGCTACCGTTTTTAACTGAACATTCACAATATAATCACACACACTCGGTACAATCATTCTTCTAATCTAGCATTCCTACATAGAATATTCTCTTTTTCTCTGGTTTGATACACGTCTAGTTAACGAGATCTTGGAGAAAAAGGAAAGAAACATTGTGATATAGTTAGAAAATAGAAGAATAAGAAGAGAATTGACGATATAGTTTAGAAAACATTCAACAGCAATTTCTCCCGTCAACAGAGCACGAAACAATCGATGATACGCAGCCAGGCCGACAACAATACGCTCCTCTTTCCCGTGTGTTTTCCTTCACCCCTTACGCGACGTTCTCCCAGCGATAATAATTGACAGAGTTCACCGCCGCGGTGATTCTGTGCATCGACCAGTAGCAGAGCAAACGTTTAATTGAAATCGAACGAACATATTTGGCCATCGGTTGAAAACGGAATTCAGTTTCCTTCTCTGAAAGAAAGAGAGGAATATCCAGCGGCAGTTACCGCGTTCTCCTTCGTTTTTTTTCTGCTTCGTGCTCTCGTTCCACGTCTGAAGTTTGTTATTGAAAAAAAATTTAATAACCACTGATAGCAGAGCGTCTTCACCTGACGCAACGAGAATAAACGAGACAGAGTGAATGGGAAAATAGAGGGGGGTGGAGGCCAATTCAATTTTTCTAGCTAGGTGCTGGGAAAAAGCGTCACGTCTAGCTGTTGTCCAATTAGGGAATCACGCACTCGAGGAGGATCGTCCTGGATTCTCGTGGCCTCGATAAACGATCGCAAGAGCAGAGAGAGAGAGAGAGGGAGAAGGAGAAAGATCGAAGAATAGAAACGGAGAATCGGAATTCGTAGCATCTGGCGCTTCGGGTGCAAAGTAGCTTGGCTCATAAATATTCAATGGTCCTTCGGAGGAATTTGTAAATATCGTATCGAGCTGCAATAATAAGTTTCCGTTCGCGAAGTAACTGCTCTTGTGCACAGCTAGAGGTGAAACTTTTTTCTATGGATAGATTCATCGAGGCGAAAACCAAGGGACCGTGTACTGCTATCTCCTCTTTCGATACCTCTTATTAAACCTTCCGCTGCTCTTGGCGCCTATAGGCGTTTTCGATATTTTCTCGTTCTGTGCCCTTGACGCCTATAGGCGTTTTGAATATTTTCTCACAATGTGACCTTGACGACTTTAGGCGCTTTGAAAATTTTATCGCACTGTCTTTGACGACTATAGGCGGTTTAGAAATTTTTACGCGCTGTGACCTTGGCGCCTATAGGCGTTTTCAATATTTTCTCGCGCCGTGACTTTGGCGCCTATAGACGCTTCGAAAGTTTTCTTACACTGTGCTCTTGACGCCTATAGGCGCTTTTAGAAATTTATTCGCACTGTCTTTGACGACTATAGGCGGTTTAGAAATTTTCACGCGCTGTGACCTTAGCGCCTATAGGCGTTTTCAATATTTTCTCGCGCTGTGACTTTGGCGTCTATAGACGCTTCGAAAGTTTTCTTACACAGTGCTCTTGGCGCTTATAGGCGCCTTAGAAATTCTCTTCTACTGTGTTCTTGACGCCTATAGGCGCTTTTAGAAATTTTCTCCCACTGTGACCTTTGCGCCTATAGGCGCTTTTAGAAATTTTTTCGCTCTGTAACATTGACGCCTTTTGGCACACTTGCACCTTAGTTTAAGCCTTCTAAGCCTCGACCATTATTCTCCGCATACTTCCACCTTAATATTCGAAATAATAAATCACAAAATTTTAATTCAAATTTTACGATTCCTTAAAACTTTTATAGCGTCGAAACAAAAAATTCTGCGGCCGTAATTGAACATCTACCGTCTGCCACATGCGTCGCTTACTGAAATCTGCCGCAGCGAAAGGGTTTATACCGTCCCACGGTCCACGCTAAAATCTCCGCCGTATCGTATTAAAACTTTATTAGCCGAGTTAACGGTCGAGCATCGAGAGTGAACGAACTTTTCGAAAAAGATACAGCGAACGTTTGCAAGGAAGTATGTTAACGCGGTGGAAATATCCTCTCCCTTCTTTTTTCACCCCTCCAGCCCGTTTCGGCTCTGTCGTTTACGAATGCTTTGCCGGAACAAACGGGCAGAAATATTCTACGAGCGTTCTAGTCTCCGTACCGTAATGCCGTTTGCTAATAAACCGTATTCCGCGACGCTGTTTACTCTACGATTTATTAAATAAAGCGGTGGCGGCAAAGTCAGGATCCTCTGAAATGTCTACGCTGTACAGGGAAAGCATTTTTAAATAGCCTCTGAAGCGCGCGGCTGGAAGATTTAATAACCTTGAGGAAGATGGAGTACAAATAGAACGAGACGTCGAATTGGGGGTGTATGACTTACAACTTCATAAATGTAAATCAGGAAGAACGATAGAATATTTTATTAGACGCTTGTTTGCCGTGAATACAAGATGTGTTTGTACTGTTACGAAAGAATTTTCTCACCTTTTCTTTCCTTCGACTATACCACTTAAGGAACTTATCATAGAACAAGAAACTTGGATAGTATGGAACGAAAATTATACTCGAGATGATGATTATCGTTGGAGTACGTATAGTCGGGGCCACGATATAGCGAGGTCGTAAAATCGGTCAGACGTCAAAGTAAACATGTTTTATCTGCTGGGACCCGAAAATTGACAGAGATACGAGCAGATAAGTACTTGAAACCATGGTCAGGACCGTACAAAGAATTCTTGTATCCAGCGAAAGTCAAACTGATTCTAATATATTTACTGAAAATTGAGTTCAGCTAGGACAATTTAGGGTTTTTTTCTTCTGGGAAAAGCCGCTTTTGGAAGTACGGTTACAAGTAAAGGTCTTATTGAGGTCTTTAACATCTTCATTTACCTGCTCGTGTTATATACAGATAGAAAATGCAAAAGGATTGTGTAGCTTTAATATTAACATATTTTCCATTTGTAAATGAAATACCATTTTCTACTTGAAGTACCAAATCATATGCTACCATTCGTTTATTGTTGGAACCCTCAAACAGACTGCAACACACGGCCTTGAGTGCCGCAACATCAATCGGTGCCGATTCTTCAGAGTTTAATTTACGACCTCGCTATATCGTGGCCCCAACTATACGTTGTACAGTCGGTGGGAGCGATACGGTGAGATAAAATTAGTAGAAACCTAGAAAGATAAAAACTCGAAAATTCAGTCGAGGCTGTATGAGGCAAGAAATATCAGTCGTTGTTCTGATTCAGTTCCAATGGAAAAACATAAAATACCGCATGCCGATCCTAAGTTTCACTGCATCGATCAGTGCCTCTATTTTTAATACCATGGATCGATTTGGATCGATTCCTTTCCTCAAAGTCACTTATTCCTTAATCATGAATATATATATATAAATATTTTTTTTTTCTATTTTATGCTGTAGCAGACATTGACGTGCATTTAACCCTTTCACTGCTACATGCGCTTTGAAAATTTGTTCGCATTGTTATTGGAGTCTTTTGGCGCACTTCCATATTAATTTAAGCCTCAATTTAATCCTCTGCACTCTTTCACGCTTGTTCAATAAAACAAACTTTAAAATGATAAAAGAGGAAAAGAAAATTTTGCGGCCGTTCTGGAATGTCTGAATCTGTCACACGCGTTACGTACTAACATGCATAATAATACGATCTTAAAATGATCTTTGCCACTAAAATTTCAATTCAAACGTGAAACTACCTTTCATCTTTTGCAAATTTCTCGAAGAAAATTTGTCTTCCATCCTATTCATCTGTCGGAACCATTTATTAAAAATTACGTAAAAAAAATATAGCTAAAGAAGATAATTAGGTGGCTTACTTCACACGGCTCACTCCGTATAAGCAACTTAACGCACTTCGACTAAACAAATCCGTTACCCGAGCACCGAAAAACAAAAAGGATTACCCGTGGTATACGCTCACACAAATACGTACATTCATGCATGATTTAATTATAACGCAGTGCAGGATAAACCAGTGTGCTAGCCACGTTACGAATTTTCAATCAAGAGTATCGTGAATCGGGATGAAAGCGCGTTATCTTATCCGTAGATCCGCGCAGAGCGGATTTTAATGCACTCACCAGTCAATTGAAGCCTGCCGACGTTGCTGCTGACGACCGTTTCCTGCGTCAGACGATGATGCGTCCTGCACCGATAAGTCCGTTCCGCGTCCTCCCGTGTGATATTCAGTATCATCAGTTCCCCGCTGGAAAGCATGTGGTATTTGCCGTCTACGGGAACCAGAAATCGCATTTTCGATCAGAGAGACAGGCATACATACATACGTACACGTGTGCGCGAGAAAAAAAAAGGAAACTTTTCCCCCTCGAATTCGAATATTCCTATCTTGTACGAGGACACGTCGAAAACGATCGCGAATCACCGCGATAAATATTCGATCTAGAGTTTCGATACGGCTTTCTACCTACTACTACCACTACAACACACTACCCGGTCCAGGTTCTCCGCGAATCTCGTTGTCGAGTTCGTTCAACTTTGAACCCGTGAACCGTGCAACGACGAAAGTTTCGGCTGTTCTACTATCGATCGTCTTACTGCAATTGATGAGTGTATTAACAAATCCGTCTGGATTATTAGCGAGCACATTCAGAAGGTTGGGGCCTGCCTGCTTGCCCTCCTCCGCGGCGCGTACCTTGATCGAACTCCTCCATAATTAATGAAGTTTGCCTCGTTAACGGGCTTGCGGCGGAAACTTTCGGCATCGACAATGCCTACTGTGCACTCTGTGTCCGAAGGCGGAACGTAAAGGATGCTATTTTTTTTTTTTTTTTTTTTTTCTACCAATTGCGAATAAGAGAGAAAGCCTTTCCAACGCGGGAAGATTGTACTTTCTTTGTGAAATATGGGACACACCGTGGAAAATCGAGAGACTGTGTGGTAATCTGCGGGAAACGCGACTTGCTTTCGAGTTACTCAATTATCCACGAAACCGGCTTCGATATTTACTCGCGGAAAATTCTGAGAAATTTCACCTTGCACACGTGGAAGACGTGATTTTCTTTTCATATAAGAATGAATAAATTTGAATAAATTCAGGTGTATCTATTGTACCTTCGTTAATTTATTATATACAGGGTGCTTTATCTAACTTTATCACTTGAAATATTTCCACTGTGATTGTAACTTTGTAAAAATACTTTCAAAATATTTAAATGTTGCATAGTTTTGTAAGAGCCAGTGTATGGTGACAATAGTTTTATTGTGAATGATTAACGAGATAAGAAGACCAACTTTGCTTTTTAGCTATTAGGTTGTCCGGAAATAAATTGCGGTTTTCTGTTGTGTCATATTTAGGGCTTTTCTGTACTATGTATTTGAAATTTATGTTTATCAAGTAGTATACCATTTGAACGCGTAGACGTCGCTCTATCATATAAGCGATACACTTTTGTTTTTTACCGTCATTTGTTCCGAGTATAACTTAAAAACGTAACAATGGACTGCCCGCACTATCAATCATGTATTCGGTGAAAGCACATCTAATGATTATAATGCGTAGAAAGTTATTTGTTGAACAACCAAGTTTGGTAAATCGTAAGGGGCCAATACTCCTACACGATAACACCCGCCCACACGTATCATAATTCACAAATTGGGTTATGAAACATTAAAACACCCTCCTTATTCCCTACAGATTACCATTTTTTTAAACATTTGAATAACTTTTGGCGAGAAAAAATCTTCCGCAATAAAGAGGATGCTGTAAATACCTTCGCGGAATTTATTAATTCTAGAACTCTTGATTTTTATTGTAATGGAATAGGAACTCTTGTAAAACGTTGGAAAAAGTGTATAGAATCTAATGGAAATTATTTCGATTAAATAAATTCATTCTAAGCAAAACTACACGTCTTTAAGTCTCAGGTACAGAAACCGCAATTTATTTCCGGACAACCTAATATGTTGTAAAGGAACATGTTGCAAGTGTCATGGACATTTTTAACTACGTTTAAAAATTCAAAGGAGATGTTCAAAGTTCACCTCAAAACGATTGTTCACTTTATTTATACGACCTTCGTTGACCTTGAAGCCTTGCATAAAAAATATAGCATTATATGTAAAAACACAGTTGCCCTTCTCATCTCGTTTTGCAACGGAATAAAACTATTGTTACTATACGCTGGACCCCATAAAACTGTGCAACTTCTGTAGGAAACATTTTTATAAAATTTTAAGTCTCTCACTATTTTTGGCGCTTTGAAAGTGTGCTCGCGCCGTTCCCTTGGTGCCTATAGGCGCTTCGAATATTTTTCTGCACTGCGTCCTCGACACCTATAGGCGTTTCGAATATTTTCTCGCGCTGTACCCTTGAAGCCTGTAGGCGTTTAGGAAATGTGCTCGTATCGTGCATTTGGCGCCTATAGGCGTTTCGAATATTTTTCTGCACTGCGTCCTTGACACCTATAGGCGCATTCGAAATTTTCTCGCGCTCTGCCCTTGCCGCCTATAGGCGTTTCGAATATTTTTCCACGCTGGCGCCTCTTGACACACTTCCACCTCAATTTAACCCGCAATTTTGTATCCTCTGCACACTTCCATCTTAATTTAACCCTCAATATTTATCCTCTGCACACTTCCACCCTAATTTAATAAAACAAATTTAAAACCGATAAATTTTCAATATAAATTTTTTTCGAACTTCAATACACCAAAACGAAAAATTTTAATTAAAAATCTACCGTCTACCACACGCATTTCGTACCGAAATCTACGGTAACAAAAGGTTCAATCGAAACGGAAATATTTCAAGTGGCAGAATTAAATATTACCTACATCCTGTATATTTATTTAAATAAATTTTTCATATATGAAATTAATTGCAGGGACGGGATCTAGCGTTTGTTTCGCGACAATTATTTACGACGAGACGTCATTAGAGGATATACGGAGCGTCACTCACCTCCCATCGTGGACGGGTAGATGTTGAAGGATGGCTCCTGAAGCCAAGACGTAATGGTGACGTGGTCGCGAACGAAACCGGGCACGTTGCAGCGCATAAGTACGTTGTTGCCGAGGAAACCGCCGGGACATTGCACTTCCGGATCGTAACGTTGGTTCACCACTGAAACACACAAACAACCAGCCGCTCGAAAGCGTGCCTCGAAAGCGCAGGGCAGACAGGGTCGGCTTCGCTTGCCCAGAAAACCACTCTGCCCTACTACATTCTACTCAAACGCGAGGAAAAAAAAAATGCTCGCCGTTTCATTAACGACTATAGTGAATGCTTTCTCGTTATCTGCTGTACATTTTCAAGGATTCAGGATGGAATTAGCGGAAATTTGTCGATAGATTTAAGGAATTCTTTTTTCGTATTGGACGGAAAGTTGAAAATTTCGCTATTCGAGATATTCAACGTTTTCATAGTTGCACAATGTTGAACGCTTGTTGAGATAGTCACCCATCGAAATTTCGTATAATTATTAACGCTACGCTGGTTCGAAAATTTGAATATTCAGATATGTATTTGTTTATCGTTTTCTCTCTATTATACATTAATAAAATTCAATTTTAATTCGACGCATTAGTTGCATTTACACTCGAAGTATTTTGTATGTTTTAATAAATCCTGACTTCTGACGTTGAGATTTAGGGAGTAATGTGAATTACAAGTGAAATTTTATAAAAACAAACGACTGATAAAATAATTTACTCGATTCTTAGTAAAAGCTTGCAAAATTTAAATTACGATAGAAACCGTTCTCTTTCTAATTTTGTAACAAACAGATTGACTGTGATAAATAAAGTTCATTATCTCGATTTTTAGTAACAATTTGTAAAATTTAAATTACGATAGAAACTGTTCTCTTTATAATTTTGTAAAAAAACAGATTGATTGTGATAAATAAAGCAATTTACTCGATTTTCAGTAATAACTCGCAAAACTTAAATTGCACATATGTACATAACTTTCTACACTCTCAAATATGAACGCTTTTCGAGCGGCCATTGCTGTCTTAACCCTCTAAGTCCGACTAGAACTCCAGAGTTCCATACTAAACAAAAATCCCTCATTTTCAAAAAATTACTCTCCCAATCCCAGCTACAAAGTAACCTGTATCACCCCTGAAAAGAATCCCCAACAATTTTAAACACTCTCAAACTTAAACCATCGATAAGAATTTCTTAAAACGTACTGCTACACCCTCAAATGTTTTCCTTCTTAGTCCTTAGTTTTATCTGTATTTACAACTAGTCACCCACTTTCACCATTACTCATACTGGACTCTTCACCTTCCAACTCTCCTGCATAGTCGCAACCCAAAGTCCATCTTCCTAGAACCCTTAAATAGCCCTATTTTCTCCATTTCCGTGTTTATTCTCTATTTCACCACGCGCGCGTCAAAGTTCTACGCAACGACGATCCTTAAGTGTTTTAATTCAGCGACACCCCAATATCTGCTCCTAATTTCGAGGAATTGGAGCAAACCAGACAACACAGTACGATACTCTGGAGTTCCACTCAAACTTAAGGTGTCAAACTCGAAAATCGTTAAGACGTTACACTGGAATAAAGAATTACTATACCACATCAGACACTCTCTCCAGGGAACTAAGATTAGGTTAACGTTTCCAAAATTAAGAATGACCGTGTCGTTCCATCCATAATCGACGAAGTCCCCGTTGTCCGAGGCGATACGCGGTGCTCGGCGTCGATAACCAAACTTGGGTATACGTAATAACGTTAAACGGGGCTTCGTTAACCAGACTTCATAGTTGTGTATCGCGTCCCGCTACACGCGCGATAAATTCATGAAATTAAGAATGACCGTGTCGTTCCATCCATAATCGACGAAGTCCCCGTTGTCCGAGGCGATACGCGGTGCTCGGCGTCGATAACCAAACTTGGGTATACGTAATAACGTTAAACAGGGCTTCGTTAACCAGACTTCATAGTTGTGTATCGCGTCCCGCTACACGCGCGATAAATTCATGACGCATCAATTAAACACCGGAAACCGGTTGCTGTTTCGTTATTTCATTAAACGCGGAGCATCGCGTAAAATTTCGACAAATTCGTCTTGCACACGTTCCGTCCGTGTCGCGCTTCGGGGCTAACGCGTTAACCACCAGAGGGAGAATATATATTTTTCCAGCTGGTTGTTCCACCGAGAATAATGGATTACTTTTAACAACGACGAGCCATGGTCGCCTGCACTCGTCACTTTTACCACTCTCCTACCGGAGACTAAATTATTTCGTCAAATCGATACGGACCTCGTTCTCCAGCCGGGAGATATACAGCGGAACAGTACTGTCGCCCGGTTGAAGAATGTTCAACCTCGAATGTACACGTTCTACCGGAGCAAACAACTTGGAATTCAACGAAACGTACAACCCTCGCGGAATATTCTATCAATGGTGCCGTTGTCGTTTGTTTAATGTAATTATCATAACACCGGTGTAGGAACCTAGGGAAAAATATTGAGGGACCCAACGGGAATCGAACCCGGGACCTTCGGCTTAGCAAGCCGAGGCTTTGCGCGCTACGCCAACCACTCTCTCTATATTCTACCTTCGAGGTTTCCTATTTTTGGGTATGGAGGCCCCGATACTACACTCGGCCATCCTGAACTGACACTCACCCTCGAATGTCCTCAGTGCAACACAACTCAACACTTCCGGGCACACTCCCCACACAGTGGCACACAGCCGAAACAACGCATTTTTGGGAGACGTGCAACCCTTGATATGTTTTCATC